ATGGTTGGTTACCAGAAGTTAGAAATTGTTAGCAAAGTCTATTAACTTGGATATGTCTGCAGCTGAGGGTGAAAACATAATACGAGCTGATTTGGATGCCAAGAAATGGTGCTTGGTGTTAATATTTTGTGTCTTCCTTCAAAATTCTGAATGACTTTCAGTTTTATTCTGGATTCATGAAGACTCACTCTCTAGGAACTGAAGCCCCACATTCCCAGATTAACAATAAACCCCTGTTCCTTAAGTTGAGGCTAAGCATGGATCTAATCCTTTCCTAAAAGAGCATAAGGAATGATTGTCAAAGCGAAGGTAAAGTGATCACACTGACAATAGAGTGTTTCCAACAATATTAGAGTCTTCGGTGCTGACTGGCATTTTTTTTCTGCCCTTATTCAGCAACCTTTCTCTTTATCCAGGTGTGTTTTCTAACTTCAAGCTTTAACCCTATCCTTATGCTTCTTTGCAGAGGACCTTGATCTCTTTAAGACAATGAAATCCATTACAAGAATGTCTTCCACCTTCAAATCTGCCTGCGGGGACCCTATTCTAACTGTCTCACTTCCAATTCCAGAGGTAAATTATATCTCTTCCTCTCTAAATGAAATCAAGGACGTAAATTCTACATTGTTCTCTTATCCTTTTCTCTTGTCCAAGTTCCAACTTCCCCTATTATCCCTGTTTACCCGACATCTCTCCTCTCCCTTCTCTATAGTATTTTTTCTTGTAAGTACTCAAAATAAAACAAACACACAAAAAAGAAGATTTTCACCTAAGATAATAAAATAACACAAACAAAAAGAAAACTATTCATTTAACACAAGGTATCACTGCAAAAATTTTGGTTAGTCCACAGTCTTTACTTCTTTCTTGACTTCTTGAATAAAACTACAATTTCATTCAAAAACCCATCAACTGCAAAATTCAATGGTTTTATTCAGTCCTAGTCATGCCTACAATGAACCCAATGACTATTTAAGTTCTTCTCTCACCCATTCCCAAACCCCATTATCTCCTGCGTTTCCTTTCCCTTCTCTCATGTCCTTAGCAACTTCCTCTGACTTCCCCCCAGCTTCCTTGAGGATGAGGTCCCTCTTGGCTCTCCTCTCTGCTTACATGAGCCCTCTTCCTCTGAGCTTTACATTTCTTCCCAGAGTTCCTTTATCAACCATCTCTGCTGACTTCCAAACCCATACATTTCCAGTTCAATCTCCCTCCCATGCTCTGGACCCATCCTCCCAACTATTCCCTGCAGATAACACTAAGACAAAACTTCCAGGTAACACTGCTACCATTAGATTCAGCACTTTCTCCTAAGATAAGTTCTATTCCTCTACTTTTGATCTGATTAATGATGTAACATGGACATTCTTCTTAGCCAAAAGACTAGAGTATATATTCTCAACCTCTTTCTTTTCCCCATACTTAGCCAATTAATCACCAGATCCTATGATAATCCCTGCTTCAATCCCAGAGAGTTCTCTCAAACTTGCTACTGTGCTCTATCACCACCACTGCATTAACATATGCAGTCATTCTCCCAGCAAATTGGAAGAGCTTTATTGCCTGCTTTCTTTGCCACTCCCACTACAAACCACCCTCCACAAAGTCATCAGGGTTATCCTAAAAAATAATCTTGAGCTTAGGTTTTTGAACCAGACTTTCTAGGTTTGCATCCTGACACTGCTACTGTCTTACTATGTAGTTTTGGACAAATAATGCACCTGCTCTGTGCTTCTTTTCATTGATGGAATAGAATATTAATAATAGTGATGGAGAGTAGTGATATATATATAATGCTTAATAAATATATACATACATATATATATATAAAAATACTTAAAATAAGTCTGGCATATAACATATGATCAATACAATTATATATAGGTCACAATGTGACCTATTGTGAAGTCACCTTATGTGACATTTCCTTACCTGAAAACCATTTCTTTTGATACCAAATAAACATGTAACAATTAAGTGAAGCTTACTACAACCCCCTAAAAGATTGAATGCTTCCTTAACTGGGATCTTCAAAACATGATTTTACATTGTTACAGAACATACCAAATCATAGGTCATCTGCAGGAGAACATAAGCTTTAGGTCAGATTTACATCAGTATCCCCAGAATGAACAGATAACTGCAGAACCTTTGATGCAGTTCACTTTATCATGGTCCAAATGAAGTTTTACAATTTTTGGAAGCATTTGGGATAGATAAAATCATCAAAGGGCAATGTCAGATTGAACAAACATGAAATCAGAATGTAGAAATAACCTATGAGCATTTAGGCTGAACAAAATAGACCTTCTCTCAACCTTTTGGAATTTAGGCTAAGGAAGGTTCCCAAACTACTGTTAGAACAACAACTGAAATATTAATGTAAGTCAACTCATATTGAGCACAATTTCCCTGACAGTCAGTCCTCAAGATATAATTGGATGAAAAATGAGGTACAAATAAATTCTAATAAAAGGCAAACTCTAAGTGATACAATAAATGCCCTGTCAATGTTCCCAGACTTGGAGACTGATGGGAAGGATTTATTAAAAGTACTGAGGAGAGGAATCAAGTATACTTCATGAGAGACTGATATTTCGTTCTAAATTGTTAAATTAGGTTGACTATGATTTGAGCAGATGCAGAAAATAGGGGAATGATGTTCCACATGGAGGACATAACATATTAAGGTATCTTAGTGTAACACTGTTTATCATATTCAATCCAAGGAGCCAGGCGAGCAACCTTCTTGGGAAAAGATACCAACATAGCAGGGGAAATAATGGGCATACGGTCACAGAAGGGACCGCTGTCCAGGGCCAGGTGAGAGCGATTATGAATTATCACACCTGGAACATCTTTGCATTTGATTGGCTTTGGAACTATTATAATTGGTGATTGAAAGAAAATGCACTGAACATAATCCACAAGGACACTTCTTAAATTTGGAGGCAAAGGGTAACTTGGGTAAGAGAAAAACAGTTGAGATAGTTTGGGGCTGTGCCTTTAACAATTGCAAAAATCAGCAAGAGACAATTTCACTTAAGATAGAACAGGAAACTATTCAACATCACCCCCACCCTCCATTGATGGAAGACAGGCAGGCAGTAAAAACACAAACTCATAACATGAAATGCTCGCAGGGATAGTTAGCACTAGCCTCCATGGGGGAAGCTTCATTCAGTTGTTCTCGCAAATTTACAGTCCGTGCTTCCAGTAAATTCATTAAAACCAGGAAATTGCTTAATTAGTTTAAAGTGACAAACTCTTCTAAAAATAAATGTTTGAACAACATGGGTTCCAAACAAATTTATCACAATCAGAACAGTACACCTATAATGACTAGAAAATTAATTCACGATAATAACATGTCAAATCACATGTTTTGTAATGTTGCTTTCCTTCTAAAAAGAAACTAATTGGTTTAAAGAGGGTTGAATTTCCACTCATACTCTTGACCAATAGTTAAATCACTTTGAGAGCCTCCTGATTTATTTCGAACCCGCTTTGTCCTTTCCTTTATTGCTAAACAATCAACCAAACAAAAAACATTATAGGTGTTATTGTGGATTATCACACTCCAAGGAAGCCCTAATGTGCTTTAGGAATCCAAAACAGAATCTAGTCCAGTCGCGATGTGTTAGCATTATCCAAGCTCAACGCTTTCAAAAAAGTGTATAAAATCTACATATTCAGACTTCATTATGGGCTGTTTTACCAGAAAAATTCACACTTTACTAATGTACTAAATTGAATAAAATTATTCCCATGGATATTTATTTTAGAAAACTAACAAGCCCAAGAATAGTGAAATAATTGTTACTACACAGGATCCCCACTACTAAAGCTTCCTGATCTTCCTCCATACCCAGCCCTGACAGAAGGACTTGACCTCACAGCACTCCTTCAGTAGAATTTGAAGAAGCAAAGACAGTCAATAGTTCAAGTCTATTCTGGTAAATAAATAATGAATAAGGACAATCTAGATTTGAGGACATAAAAGTATCCTGAATGCTGAAAATAGCAGTACCCTACCACATGTACATTTAGCATATTCAGTTTAGCCACCCCCAACAAGTTTAAAAAAAAAAAAATCTCTCATAGCAGATTTCTGATTTTTGGAGAATGTAAGATGCCCTCTTTACCTTATTTCAGAATCTACACTTGCAGGTGGGACGTGGCCACAGGAAAGGGAGGGAAGGAAGCTGTAATGGTTTGCTTGTTTCACATCCCCAGAAACCTTGGGAAGGGTGACTGGTCTGGTCCAGCCTTTTCTGCTGGTGCCTCCTCATGACAGCTGAACAGCGGCCACACCAAATTGTACAACACATGCCTTAGACTGACCATGCTTGGGTCATATTCATGATTAGCCACTGATTTGCAATCTTAGGGTAGTTTGTGGCATATTTTAATTATTGAGCATTCACTGGGGGATGCATTGAATAAACAACAACTTCAGTAACTCATCTGAACAGTATTATAGTATCATTCTCATTGGGTCTAAATAGTGAATTAGTACATACATTAATTATTAACAAATTATACAGTAGTGTTCCAAAAAGGACATATATTATACACATAAATATCAAAGACATTGCTTACGATCAGTACCATTTCAGTGAATACAAGTGAATTAATCGTAAGGGACATGCAGATAAAAAATTGTGTGGTTTACTATTTGAAATTTTCTAAACTGAATTTATTTAATGTTTATAATAATAGCATTCATACCATGTTGCATGACTTATTGAAGATTATTTTTGGCACGTGAGTATCATAAATCTTGTAAAGGACTACTTTCTAGGCATAGATGTTCAGAGAATAAAGCTCTATACCAAATTTGTAAATTTACCAAGAAAGTATCAGTAAATATCAAGGATTGTTTTGGAAAAAAACATCGCTCTTAGAATTATTTCTAGGTTTTACATAAAATGTAAAAATAAACACATAGAATATGTTAGCAATTCTCAGTGTTAGGGAAGGGATATAGATTTACTTACAAGGAATCTAGAAGCCAAAAGAATGAAATGCCGTCAGCAGCCTGCAAATTAATAACAACAACAAAACCTAAGATGATATTATTTTACTTAGGTCACTTAAATGAACAAGAAAGAAAACATTTGATGATACGATTTATGATCAAATACTATACATGTATAGCATTGATGACATGATAGCAACAGTACCAACATGCTAATCCTTCTTTCTGAGGATTAAACTGTGGCATACCCTATATCTACCATTTATTTATTTATTTATTAAAGATTTATTTATGCATACAAGAGCTGGGGTATAAGCTAGAGGCGTGGGGGGTGAGAGGATTCACCAGAGACAGAGTGGGGAACAGAACAGGCAGATTGACTGAAGTACACTACTGTAGAGAGCAGCGAGCGAGTCAAGAGAGGTCTTCTGCGCCATGTGGGTTGCTCCCTGGCCTGATGGGGATCAGACTTGTGCTGCAGAGGCTGCGGGCAGCTGCACAGGTTGCATCTTAACCCCTTGCGCCACCAGGGAGGCCCCACCCTTTTTTTAATGGTCTATTCTTCCACATATTAAACACTTCAAGCTGTCAATTTGTTTACATGCATGCCGAGGAAAACAAACAGAAGATTAATACAATAATTGAGAGTGAAAGAGTGTAACTGTATCCTGAACTAGCTTCAACACATATTCAAAAAGTCAATGAAGATCAAAGGGAAAACAATTTACTACAACATTGTGGTTTGCCCACAAGCATTTTATGAGTTGTATCTGGATACAATACAAGACAATCTACAGTCTTTCAGCCACCACTGATGTAGCCTTTATAGTTTGGGTTGCAGAAATACCACTAGGGTGTCATATTGATGTCTGCTCTGCTGTTTTGACACTCTACCCAGATGCTCCGATTTTGCTTCAGTGACTCAGAGCCGTGTCTGAATGCCTCAAAGCATAGGCAGAAAGAGTTATGAAGGCAGGGTTGGAGTGCAGTGAACCAGCGTCACCTGCACTGATTTGAAATCCTAGAACCGATGTGAAAACAGCATGGTGGTCCTGACTGGATGCGCATATGGCTGCAGGCAAAATGGAACCCACAGGAATTCAGACTTTTCTCACTCACTCGCTCTCATCATGTTTTCTATACCACAGTGGCTCAGTGCAATAATTATATGGACAAAAGGTACTAAGTATATGGAGAGATGTGCATTTTTTTAAGAGACGATCATTCCCAAATGGTGTCCATTAGACATTTAAATGTGTACTTATATAGCATAATGTTGACATACTTAGGTTGACCTATATATACATATGTGTGTATATATATATATAAAATACACACACACATATATATTATACATGTACACAAAAATATACACATATATAATCAGAAGACTTAGCAGTGGGTTTTGTTAAATATCTTGTCTCCTTCATCTATGGAAATTACCAAGAATGTGCTGATACACAAAACATAACCACAGATCTTTCATCTAGGAGGAGTCTCCAACAATAAGATGAGTTTTTAAAAGGATAGCAGCTTTTGTGCAAGCTGTATGTCAAGATACTTGACAGAGTTAAGTAATACAATTGCAAAGTTAAATAACAGAAGGGAGAGGCATTAAGAGGCAAAGAAAAGATAGAAAATTCATGTTTTCAGATGAGGGCCGTGAGGAGGAGGGGAGTCATCTAAGGAGGGAGACATAAGAACCCTCCATAGTTAACAGAAGCTGAAGAGAGATTGATTTGAAAAGAATAGGGGCATAATCATGGTGTTGAATAGCGAATTCAATAATGAGCCTGATTCTTGGAAATGCTGATCCGGAGGCGGGGCCAACAACTCTGAGAGTGACATGTGCCATAATTTCCTCAGAAAAAGAGTTACTACCCTCACCTCTGATGAGAATAGTCTCCATGGCACCGTTTCAGAAGCCGTGTTGAGTAGTAAAATTGAGGTGACAGGTGAATGTAGAAGTCTGAGAGATACATGAAAGTGATAGGATTTCCAGAGAACGCTGAAAGCAATGGAAACACCCCACAAATCAGACTCCAGAGCTCTCTCGGAGCGTTAGGATATGGTGATCATTTGTCTTTGGTGGAAGAAAGCTTGATGTAGCTCTGTCCTTTGCAAAGACCTCAAGTACAAGTCCCTGAGAGGAGAGGATATCTAAAAGAAGCTTGAAGTATAGACAATTTGAATTGCACAAAAATAAGAAATGGTGCTGAGTTTGTCCCAGCATGTTTTAATGAACATCCAGTAGAAAGTTAAGGAGTCTCAGTGTAATCACTTTTGATACTTTCCTTTCACAGTCAAACCTAATAATGGTCTTAAGTAGCAACAGGGCTGAAGGGGCAGGTGACTGGTGCAGCACAAAGTCTGCTGAGGATGTGCCCTACAGCCCCGGTGACTGGCGGGAGGTGGGGCATGTGTGAACAGGTCCAAAGCTCAGCTCTGTAGGCTAGAACATGTTATCAGCTTGTAAGAATTGTTGTTGAGTTTCCTATGCTACAATGTGTACTTCTGATCTTTTATCACACCACTCACTTTTCAATTCCTCCCCCTTTGCTTGCTTCCTCTGTTCCCTACTTTCTGTAGAAGTTTCTAGAAGTCTATCTACATACTTGAGCTGACCAGCCCCTTCAGAGTAAAACTAAGCTTTTCTCAGGGTGAACTACACTTTGTATGCTAAGAAGGCAAGTACTGTTGGCTGATTTTGTTCATTGTCCCACTGTCTCACTGACCCAAATGCTGTAACCAACACCATTCACCACATACCCACAGACATCTCTACCTCTTTTCTCACCATTTTCTTAAACCTATAGGAGTAAACCTGAGATAGTCTGTGTGTGATGATCCAACATCAATAAACCATTCTCAGTCAATGCTGAGTATATACGTATATTCCAGGATTACACTTTAAATTTTATTATTCTAGAAAGAGGCTTTTGGAAATTAGCCTATCTAAGTTTATATTTTGTTCCCAAATTATATTGCCAAATCTTTTGGCATATGAAAATTGATTCAATGAGAACATTTGTGTAATGGAGAAAAGAGCACAATCTATCTGAGATCTGTTATTTGTCTCAATTGCTTAGATTGTTTCCATTTTTTAAAATTAACAGAATGATGCTTGGCATCTGCCAGATATAGCTCTGACAAACAGGAAGACGTGACAGAGGAGGCTGGAATGTGAATTGAGTACTGACTTCATCAGGGGTGAGTCTTTCATTTAAATTGCAAAATTCACTTATCCATTTGACTCCCCAATTTAGATGCATTCATCATCTTTGCCATCATCTTTGATTTTAAGTTGTCCTTCTTAGAGTCCAGGCTCATCTGCTACCCCTTCACACTCTTGACGTCCATGGCCATCATTCACCATCCCTACACTACCTCACTAGGTCAACTGCCCATTCATTCATTCCTTCATTCATTCACTTTTGTGTGCTCCTCTGAATTAGGCATGGGGTTGATAATAACACATATTTATACTTTTTCTTAATATAATGAGTTTATAATCAACTTGTAAACATGAGGATATTTTCTCATGAAAAGTTATAAAAGGGAAGACTGTGATTAAATTCCACACGAATGCTATAGAGTTACAGAAGTTATGAGACAGAAGGGATCATTACAATTTATATATCAAATACAAACTCTATTTGGTATAGTTCTAGATGTTGGAAAACTGAAATTAAAAAAAAAAGATCAAATCATATATAGCTTTCAGCTGGAGAGACACATGTATAATGTTAGATAGCAATTGATGCCAAGGGAAAAAAAATAATGCAGGTGAGGGCAATAAAAATAGCTGGAGAGAAGTTTCAATTTTAGATTAAATGGCTAGGGAAGTTCTTATTGAAAAGATAATATTTGAATAAAGACCTACACAAAGTTAGAAATGGGCTCACGTGACTCTGAGATCAGTACACCAAAAGACCTTGACATGAAGCATGCCTAGAATATTAAAAAAAGAAACCTAGGAGGTTTACTTAAAAGCCAATATCCTTGGAGAGTTTCAGTTAGAAAGATGGCCTGATCTGATTTCTATTTTTACAGGAGTAGTTTTGGACATATGTCAGGAGGACATTGTCGTTGAGCTCATGAGGGCAGAATCTGGAACAACAATCAAGATCCTAGCCATTCATCCAGGAAAGAGATGGTGTGGGCATGGAACAGGATGGTAGCCATGGAGTGATGACCAGATGGCAACTTTTGGAGGTATTTGGAAGGGAGAACCTAAATTGTTTGCTGACCAAGTAGATATAAAAGGGGTGGGAGGGGAGAGACATCATGGATGAAGTCAACAATTTTGACCTCCACAATTGGAAAACTAGGATTGTGGGGGCATCTTTAATCCAGTTGGAAAAGACAGAATGAGTTCTGAAGGTGAAGGTGCAATGGACTATTGACAATGACTGAAATCTGGGGGTATGGAGGCTCCCAACTGACAGCGGTACCAAAGATCATTCTTTGCTGCTTTAGAAATTTGTAGAGATTAGAAATACAGAATCATCTTTTAAGGCTCTTGGAATTTTTTTTAAAGAAAGTAGAGAAAGAAGAGAAAAGGAAGCAATAGTTCTCTCCAGCAGATTTCAAAGGCTTCCTCCCACTGGCATTCAATGCTTTGCTCTGAGAGGTGGAAACACGTAACTTTGACTACCTCCTTAGGCTTAAAGAATGTGAAGAATCAAATACCCTCTTCTAGCTTCTACTCTAAACTCTTATGAACAGCTACTTTTCTCCAAGAAAAGTAGGATTCAGGTTCCTCTCTACACACTCAACACCCTTCCTAGTGTCTTCTCGAACCCAGCCCTAACTCACTGGCTTGGCTCTGAAGCACCTCATGGTGATGCCTCATTTTGCCTTCAGTTTCCTTTCCCACACCACCTTCTGGTCCACTGTGTTCTGTTTCTTGGTGCTCCCCAAGTGACAGAATGGTTCGCCTTTCTCCTGCTTCTCCTGGAGAGACAGGAGGGTGGTAGTCCACTATCTGCTCCCCATCAGGGTGATAGTCCACTTCTCTCTGCTTTATTTCTTCAGAGCGGGTATAATAGCATGACTAC